GTATAAAGCCCGCCCTGACAATTTGATTGGATCGCCTGACAGTGGGCTTTAATACTCGCGCTACTATGGAGCAGAGCCAGACCGAACTTCCCCGAACACAAACCTTGTGGGCGGGACTAAGTTCGGACTGGCACCCAGGCTAGGAGCTACCATCAGATCCTTGAATTTGAATTACATCTTTCCTATTGTCAGCGAGAGGAAAAAGACGGGGGTTGTAAAATAATTAGTTGCATCGTATTTGGATGTGAATTGCATCACATTCAAATGCGATGCAAATGTCAAAAAAGAAAAGGCCATTATATGTGTTTCCATCCACTGGGAGACTTTGAGAGAGAGAAGTGTGATTCTATGTTGCATTCAGGATGCCAGTGGTTGTGGAAACAACTGATCAGTCATGTGAGATCAGAACTTATACAGCAAATATATATATATCCATTTCCATCTTCCTTGGAATCTGTTGCCCTACAATAAAGCACTACAGCTGCCTCACCTTCCAGGCTCTTTCTAGTTCCTCCCTGAGGCTGCAGGCATTTCTCATGTTTCCCATCTTCTTTTTTCCCAATGTTTCCATCATTTGGGATGACCACATCAACCATCACGGCTGTCATCTGTAGCTAAACATCCCCAGGTATATAAAGTTTTATTCTCAGATATAATTTAGCTTTTTTTTTTGTATTTCTGAAATTCAATTTTTGCTGCAAAATTTTTATTAAGAAAATATATTATTACAGATCAGTCTAGGATTGTTAATTTGACCAGAAAGAATCTCATTTTATTGATCTACAAATGGAACAACAGAGAGGAGAGTGATTTTAATAAATGTATAAAACGGCCTGCCATAGCTCACTTCATATAAACGTAGGCATTAACTCAAACAACAATCTTCTCAATTTCTGCAATAAAATCTCTAGTTCCAGTGGGATGAAATAGGCACTTCCTGTTGCTTGTTGTCATGGTGACTCATTAACCCTTTAAAGCCCGATCAAAGAATAAAACAAAACAGAAAATTACTCTTTTTGGTTTGAAGTCCTTATTTGGCCTTTTAACAAAATATGTAAAAAGAAAAAACAGAAATACATTTTTGATATTAATAATTTATTACTATGCGATAAGTCAAGATAATTTTTTGTGTAGTATTCTACTGGCTGTTATCAGGTATATCTGATTGTGTACAATAGGATTTTGAGCAAAGTTTTTACCATTAAATTATGCAAAAGGTGTCAGACGCAAAACATTTCAGAAACCGTATGTATCAAATATGATACATTTGGCATTACAGGGTTAAATCGGGGCTCTACTGATAATGACTTTTTATATTTGTTATGCTGGTTAAGCTAACTCACAGCAGCTTTTATAAAACAGAAAACTCAGAGTTGAGGATTTGAGTCTGAGTTTGTTAAACCTGCTTTTTGAAACAGACCTTAGAACATTTGACTCTCTGGTCACTACTGGTTTAAACCAGTTTGGAACGGCCCCTCATCCACAGATTCTGACTCACATTCTGCCTCACCAACTTTTCCTTTCTTTAGTTCTGCCTCTAATCTCATCCACACCTTGGAAGATATATTGAAATGTAATATATGTAAGTTTGTTTTCACCAGAGTCGTTCCTAAAGAAACATAACAGTCTGGTGTTGTTTGGTCATCTGCTCCCAGAGCTGCTAACTGACCATTAAGACCAATTATAAGTGAAGGGATTAACCTGAAGAAAAACACTATCCCCAAGAGGAATGCTCTGGATGATATAATTCTGTCAGCTGGGATTACATACAGTGCAGTGTGCTTTGCTCCAACCAAAGGACAGTGAGAGCCAAGCAAATATGGTCATAAAATCAGCTTTTATCTATTAAAACGGGCAAAAGACTTTTTCAGTAATTGCATCAACTTGATTTAACCTCAATTAATCTCAAGCGTGTCGTCTGCTTGACTTCACTCTCCTAAACACTGAAACACACTAGGTTAGAATTGGTGGAGAACTCCTTCGTTCGCATATCCAATGGTCTCAAAGGCAACACTGTCAACGTAGCAAAAAAATGTAAGAAAATCCCTTCCGTATTTCAAAAGACTCTCATCTACGTTTACAAGATTTCATTCCGAAAACAGTCAGCATCACATCCTAAGGGCTGTTTATCCTCCAGCAGCAGTATGTAGCAGTTAGCTTGTCGCATGTATGATGCAGATATTTTTGATTTATGCCCAATATTGAAGTCTGCGCTCTGCTATTCTACACCACAACGCAAGAGGGACTATCAGGAACTAGCTATGATGTCGGGTGTGGTGCGTGGCGTGTTTCTCTTCCGGTAACGGAGGTCATTCAACAGCAATGATCACCGGACCAACGCGCACTATGAGCTGTCCTTTTCGTTTGGAGAACAGGACTCGTTCAGATGTGCGTATTTCCTAACTTCTTCGCAGACTCGCTCTTCTAGCTGCTCCATCTTCACCACTCGTTTTCCACAATAGAGGTCATACAAAACAAGCTAGTAAGGAACCAAACAGGAAATACGCATATTGCTGCTGTCTGTTTGGAGCTTTCTGAACATGTGCAGCTAATGGACGGATCCAATATGGTGGACACATGTAAATAGAGGCCGGTACTCAATTTACGAGAACGCGAGTATGTACTCGCGTTCTCAAGTCCGTTCTTGGCGAGAACGCAGGAAGATCGGACTTGACGAGAACGCGAGCACGCAAGCACGTATGTGTATTGGAACAGAAGC